CAGAAAAGTTACTGAACAAAAAACCCCTCACACAGTTGAGACTAATAACCATGAGGGGAAGTTGATGCCATGTTATCAATGTACACAGATGATTTGAAGTAGTTTTAAAGTCTGATTCTTAAGGGTCTATAAAATAATACTCTAAATAAAAATCAACATTTTTAAAGAGTAGAAAGAGAACCACACCAACAGAATTATTTCTATACAGAATGGTCGAGGAGTCCTCTTGGCTGGATCTTACCTCTCCAGTCTCTACATAGTAGATCAGGTCAGAAGTGTAGTAGGCAAAGTACAATACCTCTTTACCTAAAATTTACTTTTTCCAAATAAAATACTAAACCAGATCAAATCCAGTGGTATTGCTGAGTTGATTCCAACTCATGGCTACTTTCCAAAGAGTTTTCTTGGGCAGTAGGATCTGCCTATCTTTCTCTAGAGGAGTGGCATCCCCCAACAGCCAAATGTGTTTTGCACTACCCAGCAAGGCTTTTCATTATCACACTTCACCTCACTGTTGCTGCTGAATTAGATCAGACAAACTTTGTTGGGTTTCTGATGCTGTATATTGTAAACAGGATTATAGTTCCAGCTTGACCTCTTTCTTAATACTGTTGCTCATCTTTTGCATACACAGCAGCTGGTGGATTCAAACTGCTGGACATCCTCGGACATTAGGTTAGCTGTGTAACTTACTATCCTCTACATAATAATGTGTGTATGGTTCACATAGTATATATGGCCTACCTAGTACAGATGTACATTGTTTACAAGATATAATCTAAACAATTCATTTTAACACCAAGACTCCTTAAAGAAATACTAAAAGTAAGGTTTGAAAAAAAACCCCCAAACAACAGGTTTAGAAATGGATGGTATGGAGGGCTTTTTTCTAAGTCACTTTAAGTGTCACTTGTACTTAAGTTCCACAATCAGCACCTGGCCTAGTTTTCACAGATGATATTGAGCTTCTCCAGTTATTCTTTCCACAAATATAATTATAAATAAAATATAATCTGATTCCTATGCATACCATCAGGTAACGTCCATGTGTATAGTCTATGTCTATGTTTCTCATAAAAAGTATTTGCAATGAATAAATCATTGACTGTACAGAATTTTATCATTCTATCTCCAGCCTCATTTCTGTCACCAAGTCCATGTTTTCCAACTACTGATCTTTCTTCCCTGTTTCCAACTTTTGCATTTCAGTCACCGTGACTGCTAGAACAAACAGGTTTGTCCTAGAGAAGGTGAAACCAGACTGCACCATGGAGACAAGTTTTCTGAAGCTCTGTTGACATACTTTGGGCATGTTACAAGAAGGGACCAGTTCTTGGAGAGGGATATCATGGTTGGGAGTGGGGAGGGTGGTGCTCAAGAGAGAAAGACCCTCAATGAGATGGACTGACTCAGGGATTAGGGTAACAGGTAGATGCATTAGAGACAATAAGGTTTGTTCAGGACAGGGAAGACAAAATGTGAAAGCTCATTGTCCAGTAGTATGCCACAACACAGACATTTCAAAATAGGTTACTCCACACTGAACTAAAAGGCAATTCCCTGGTAGTGAAGCATTTGTTCTTGAAGGAGAATTCTCACTTTACAGGAGGGAGGTTCAGGTTAGAGTTCCAGTCAATACCTCATGTGTGGCCAGTCAACATTCTGAGTGGATACTTGCTTGTTATGGTGTTGCTTCCACACGAAACACACTAGGAAGAAAAGCCTGGAGAGCTAGAAACCTATAAAAATTCTATGGATCTACAACTGATCATGGAGGTGACATAACAGGACCAGGCAGAAATGCTTTCAGTTGTGCAGTGTCACCATGAGCTGGGGCTGACTCTACAAGCTAGCAACACCCACTCACCTAGGCTCTTATGTTTCCTGTTTATGTCAAAAGGAGTCATCTTTTTGTTTGGAAGCAGGAGTGACATCCACTTCCTAAACAACATGCCTCTGAAAACTCTATAAACTTTGATAAATGTCGATAGTATAGAAAGGCTTCAGGCCTCCTATTCATAGGGTCATATGAGGCATGCTCGACTCGAAGGCAATCAGCAGCAAAAACAAGTGAAAATATAGGAAAAGAATACTTTCCACTTTTCTAATTTCCATTACTTAAATTTTCTCTAGTCAAATTATTTCAACTGTAATGTCTTTGTTAGTACCTTCAGTGGAGAATCTTGAACTGCAATTTCTAGGCTAGTAAATGTTCTTACATATAGTCAATTTCTAGTAAACATTTGTAAAGTGAAGACAGCATTCAGTAGGTTAACATAGAATAAATCTCCATATTCATTTTTGTTTTCCTTACAATCGTGAAGTCAGAAGCCAGGTCTGTTTTTGTTAGCTATAGTAGTTCCTTGGTACACAGTCAAATTCACTGCCATCAATCATATTTAGACTCATAATGACCCTCTACTGAGTTTTGTAGGCTCCAAGTCTTAATGAGAGGAGACAGTTTACCTTTCTCTCATATAGCTGGTAGATATAAACTGCCAAAACCAGGCAGCCTTTTGGTTAACAGCACATGGTCCTTAAGGACTATGTCACCAAGGCTTTGAATAAACATTTGGAGAATGCATAGATAACACGTTAACATAAATCTCTGGGTCATGATATGACAGTGGTCATCAGAATGCTCTGCTCACTGTCAAGGGCAATAAAGCAGATGTGGTACAAACCACATAATCCAAGCCAGTGTGTGAGTACTAGAAAAGATCACACTGAAATCTTTTATTATTTCAATCACAGGTGTAATACAATTGAGTCTCTGCAAATTTTCTGATATACTCAAGATAAAGGGAGAATATATTCTCTGATAATCATGGGATACAGAGATCTCTGGTGGCTTAGTTGTAAGAAATTGCACTACAATCTTTACTGCCTCTGAAAACCCACTGGAGGATAAGCTACAGGTTGGTTTCGATTCGATGGCACCCACCACCACCACCACCACCACCACCAAGGAAACTACTACATTACCATAACTGAGTGCAACTGTTTACAGACAGCAAACTTTTTAAGTATTTTTGTATTAAAACTTACTAAAAAACCCTGAAATATATTATTTCTCCAAATTTCTTAGATAATCACTCTTTAAATTATCTCAGTGAAGTAAAAATAATTTTTCTAGCTCTAGGAGTTGCTGTTGTTTTCTGACCCAATGTCTGGCACCCAAAGGAACTAAAATTTTTCTCTGATGAAGTGAGATATCTTTTAACAGAACCTTCTTTACAGGCTTTGATGGTTGGTTGATTTGTTTATGTATGTATTTATTTATTTAATTTAATTTATTTATTTTTTTCTTCAAGCTTAAAGCAGCTTTATTAAAGGAGCTTCAGGGTGAGATTCCTTGGGTTAGAGAGAGAGGTAGACCAGGGAGAACCTCAATCTTTTTTTTTTTTTTAAATAGAAGAAAAAAACCAAATACATATTTTTTGGTATGTGTCCCTGAAGGTCTTTAGAATGTAAAAATAATAGAATCTTTTGTCTTAAACCAAATCTTGATTTATAAATAAACATGGAGTTAAAATACTGATATACACACAGTATTTTAAGAGACTATTCTGTGGTAGATCAAAGTTCTTTCCTACTGAGGTGGCTGCTGGAAGGTGCTGGTGAATTGAGGACATCTTTCAGCAATCCTATGGACATCGTACTGGAGCCTGGTGGTGTATGCTGTGCCACCCTTGTGCTCTCTGACATGCCTGAACCCACTGTCACAGCTACTGAGGGGCAGGGGTTACGTCCCCTTCCCTTGAAATTCTGGGCTGGGCTTAGGGACTTACATAATCAAAAGAAGACAGTGGAAATAAGAGCCTGAGACTTCCAAGCTGGGTCCCTCCCTTCCTTGGAATACTCCTCTGGGAGCCCTGAGAGGCCAAGTGAGAACTCTGACCACACAGAACTCATTGTGCAGGAAGTACCCCCAGCCCTAGCTGTGCCCAGCCTTCTGGTCTCTAAACAGCAATGGGCCAGGTAGGTGCATTAAGCAGCCCTGGGATCTCTAAATGGCACTGAGGGACATTTTGTGATACCTTGTGGAATAGAAAGCATACTCCATCAATCCTGCCCTATAAAATGGTAAGTTATGTAGTTTAAAAATTGTTAGCTCTTATACAGAAATGGATAAAGGAAATATATGAAAGAAGTAAACATTCAATGTACCATGTTTGTTGTTGATTGCTGTCAAGTTGAGCAGGACTCATACCAACTCTATGAACAAAAGACCTAATGCCTTTCTATAACTATCGTTGTTTCTCCCACTTCACAGTTTTCAGAGGCATGTAGTTAAGGAAGTGGATGCCACTCTTGCTTCCAAACCCATCCTAAAACTGGTAGCTCCACCAAACACTGTCCACAATGGGAAACTATTATTGTATTTGATACCTCAACGGCACAAGGCTCACCATTACAGCAAACCCAGGTTATATCATACAGCACATTGACAAAGAGTGATGTGCAAAGTGGAAGAGTGTTCCTCTAGATATAACAGCACTAGTCTCATTTAGCAGTGGTTAAGTGGATTGAAAAACTAAAAAGCCAATGAAAAATTTATTTGCCATATATAATTCAGATATTATATGATAGCCAGTCCTCTATAGATGTGAGTTCTGTATTTACCTATTCAGGTCACAGAGGATGGTTTCATAAAGAGGAAATAAAATGAGCTCCCATAAAGCAATTAAGTAGTCACAGTAATTCCTCATAAGCAAAGAAGTAGTGTACAGTGCTATTTTCACAGCATCTATGTTGTAGTAGGTATTATGAATAATGTGCAAACGATACAATTTTATATATTGACTGGAACCAATCCTCAGCAGACACTAAGGGACAAATGTACATGATATAAGCAAATCAAAGTTAGATATGACAAGCCAAATGTAGGCAGCTAAAAAACCAGGTGGTGAGCATGTCCCAAAGACCCACAAGTTTTGTGTCAAAAAAAGAATAATTACAATATTTAGAGCTTTTAATAAAGATAAAAACCTGATTACCTGCAAATTAATATTGTTATCGATACAACGTTCATTCTTCTCTGCCAATATCTTCCTACAGTTTTCTGATTTGATAAGATTTTCAACTTTGGTTTTATCTTTCATTTCTGCCTCCAAATCCTTCATTGTTTCAGATTCATCTTTTATAGTAACAGTATCAGACATCCTCATTAGCAAAGGTTATTTTAGAATTCTACAGGGAATGTGAAGCCTTAATAAAAAAAAAAAGAAAAAGTTATTAATTCCAGTTGAAACATTTCTTCCATTTATTTACAGCACAATATCGACCAAGTACCTTCTATGTTCCATAAATACTGTTCAGTAAACACACAGAAGCAACATTCCCGTTTTCAGAGTTTTACAGTTTAGTGGTATATATTTATTCAGTGTTGTTGAGTTGAGATGTACACAGCTACTCTGCACTGTTTTTATATAGTTATAAATCTTAGCAGAAGGAAATGACTCATTTTTCACCTTTGGAGCAATTGGGAGATTTAAACCACCAACCTTTTAGTTGGCAGTGCAACTTGCCAAGCATTATGCTACCACCAGGCTGTGTTTTTTTTTAAATTTTTTAATTTCCATTCATTCATTGTTGCACTTTTCTCACCTCCCAACCCTCCCTCCTAGTACACTACCCTCTTGGAAAAGTAAAAGAAAAACTCTTTCATTATTTTACAATCCCTTCCCTAAGGTCCACTCCATTATGCAGCCTTCACTCTGGACTCCTGTCATGACAAAAATACCTAATCACATATCCCTCTTAAACAGTTTCTCCCTCATCTGTTTCAATGCAGTATACATTACTGAACCCATCTTTCTCAGTCTCCCCCCAATCCCGAGGCCAGTCCTGTTTTACAAGAGTGGCACCAGGCAGTATTTGTCCTTTTGTCACTGAGATATTTCACTCAGCATAATATCCTCCAGGGTCACCCATTTGGAATAATATTGCATGAGTTCCTTGTTTTTCAATGCAGCGTAGTATTCCATTGTGTGAAAACATCACAACTTTATCCATTCGTTTGTTGATGGGCACTTGGGTTGTTTCCAACTCCTTGCTATTGTGAACAAAGCCGTGATAAACATGGTTGTGCATATATCTGCTTGGATGTCAGTTATGGTCTCTTTGGGGTATATTCCCAGTAGTGGAATTGCTGGGTCAAATGGTATCTCTATTTGCAACCTTTTGAGAAAGCGCCACACCACCTTCCACAGTATGACCAAATACTTTCTCCCAGTCTGTGGCTTTCCTTTTTACCTTGTTGGAGAAGTTTTTGGATGTACGTAGGGATCTGATTCTTAGACGGTCCCGTTCATCTATTTTATCTTCTCCTGGTTGTAGGTGCTACCACTGGTTTTTAAGTTTAGTGGTAGACATGTTCAAAGAAAAACATCAAGAGCAGAGCCATATCAAGGCTCTGAAGTAATTTTTATGTATTACTTTTTACATTTCTTAAGAAGATCAGGAAATAAGCCAGAGTAAGATAGGTAGTAATGGTTGGAAAGTGAGACACATATGTAACAATTATTCTACTGGAAAGTAGAATATTATGAATAGTAAAATAATAATTTCCTGTGAGGAAATTCTTTTTCAAGCATAGTTTTTATCAGGATTCACAAAATATCAAAATTTCTAAGTTACCCTGTAATTCTAAAAAAGATAATTTTGAAAATAAGATACAGGTTCTAGACCAAACACAGTTGTTATTTGAGGTTAACAACTCTGCTTAGTGAGTAAAACAATAAAAATGGTGGATTTGTGTGATTAAATGTCAAACAGTACATAATAGGATGCAATATGCAAGAGGATGGAGAATATGAAATGTAGACAATGTTAACATATTTAAAATAATTTAGGAGTTTAATAGTAAGAATTAATACTCCATAACAAACAAATGTATCTGAGAATAAACCCAACGATTAGAAGAAATGGATCAAAACCAGATCTTGACTTTAACAATTTCTTTTGAAATGCATTAAAAGATGGGTTAATGGGCAGATAAAAGGGATGTAAGGATGGTCAGATATATGATAATGTGTGAGAAAATACTAATGGTAAGGATCATGGTGGCCCACTGCAAAATTATTCCACTTTCTCTGTAATTATAACCAAACTTTAGGAAAAAGAGAGTTTGAGAAATCCAATAATTCTTTTCCAGAAAAAAAATAGACTGCAATTATTTATCTAGTATCAAGGAGCCCACGAATGTTGTCTATAAAGTGAGAAAAATGAAGAAAAAGTTGAAGAGAATAAAGCCAGAGGCAGTATAAATGATTAAAGTAAAACCAAATCCACCAAGCCTCCTTAATCACAGTCCGCATTGAAGCCAACAGTTTTGTTCTGTAAACATAAGTGAGACTACAAAGGTGGGAAAGAAGGCATCTCATTCCTTGTTTCATACAGAAATAATTGTTGTGTGTGCAGTGCCATATATACATTTTCTGAAGTGACATGAGAAACTTACCTGATGTGTTCTATGAATTTGGGATTGTGGTGACCCACAAAAATAAAATAAAATAATCCAAAGTTCCTTTTCACAGTTGTCACCCAGGATGTCAACTGTATTGAACCATCTGGAATCTGGCAGGAGGAGTCCCATGTCCTTTTCACCGCTGTAGATTCTTGGACTAAAATGGACTGTCTTGGATGAAATACACCATCCCTTTCAGTGGCCTAAAATAAAGAGAAACCAATACTTAGAGATGAATTATTCAAGGTACACGGGACAATTAACAGTAATTAAGACATTAAAAATACTACTATCAGTGATTCTAGTACCTTTTTTTGTCCTAAAGAGTCAGAATATAAAGTTATAACTAATTCTACTGTTTACTAGTCTTATAAGCCAGGAAATCACTGGGGTCTAGTGAACTTTCGGTAACAGAAGGAAGAAAGGAAATCTACCTAATGAGAGACTTTATGGTTGATGCTGAGGGTGTGATTATTGTTTTTACTTTACTGAGGAGGGGGAAAAAATTGGCCCAATATCACATGGAGGAATCCTTGATGCCTGGAACTATCATTTCTGAAGTTTTCTCCCAGAGCATCAATTGTCAGAATGTAAGAGAAGACTGGAAAGTATCCAAGAGGTGCATTGATTTATTATGCATAAACTTCCCAACAGAAGGTTGGCAGTTCAAACACACCCAGCAGATCCACAAAACAAAGTGGTGGGGTTGTGTTTCCATAGAGATCAATCAAGAAGACGTCACAGAGCCGTTCTGCTTGGATGGGCAGAACGAGTCAGATTTAACTGCATGGCAACATTTTTTCTTCTTTTTTAGTAATTCTGAATACTGAACATATTCTAATATTTAAAAAACCAGACAAACAGCTGTAGATAACTTTTTAAAATTCACAATATGTTAAAAATAAACATTTATAAATAGTAGAATGATTTTTAAAAAAAATTTTATTATTTATGTTGTGTACTGTCAAATCAGATCTGACTGTTACAGGAGGAGATTGTTTCTCCGTCTCCAGCAGAGAACCTGGTGGATTTGAACCACACAGCTCTGGGATTGCAGTACAGCCTCTTGCCACTAGGCCACCAGAGGTCAAGAAAAATTATTATTATTTTTTTTTAGAAAAATTATTTTTAATGACAATCAATGCCTAAATTTTTAATATTAGTTTTTATTTATTTATTTGGTGCAAGTGAATATGTTATAGCAAGTAAATAACTCTAAAAAGATTACAGAGCTTTTTCATCTTCCTTTGAAAAATTCTGTTGGCAATAAATAGTATAATTTTAAGGTGGAAAAACTGATAAAATAAAATAAGGTCTAAGCACCAAAAGAGATGATACTGCTGAGTATTCAATACTTTAAAAAAATATAATTTTGTATTGAAATACAGTCATTTAGAACCCTGCTCTACCTTCAGTCATTTCTCACTCTCTAAGCACTAACAGAAAAGGGAGTATCACAAACAAATAAGTTTTATATTTTAAATAAATACTTCATTATCTCATTGTAACCAGGATGATCTCCCTCCAATGATTTATTACTACTTTTTACACAAAATGACTAGAGTTTTAAAATCTATATAAAAACCCAATAGTTCAATATAATTTTTTCTCATAAAAATGGTAGACACAAGATGGCAGCACTTTACTAAGTACTCAAAATTCTTTGTATCAAAGTCATAAACTAAAAATTGGAAAACAAAAACTAAGATCAAAATACATTAGTAAATGACCCTTTAGAGGGTCAGCTATGTAATAATAACAACATGCCATCAGAACCTGTTATACTGTTGATACTGACTCAGAGCTGACCATTCAGTGGGTTTTCAAAGGCAGTAAAATGCATATGAGGAGACTGCTCATCTTTATCCTGAAAAGCACCTGGTGGATTTGAACTATGTGGCTTCGAGATGGCAGAGCTGCTCCTTACCACGAAACTAGAGTGTAGTATGGTGCTATGATAAACAAAAGGTTGCCAGCTTAAATCCAATAGCAGCTCCCAGTGAAAAAAAGATAGGCAATCTCTTCTGTTAGGATCTACAGCCTAAGAATCCCAATGGAGGAATGTCAGGAGTCAGAACAGACTCGATGGCAGTGTGTTTAGTGCTAATCATTAAGGAATTATCAGAACTGTTGGGTATTACAAAACGATGCAGTTTCTTGAAACCATCTCATTTTCTGTGATCATGAAAACTGATTTATGCAACCCTGGCTGGCAGTAAGGATTCAGAATCTCTGCCTAAACTTGTGTGATGTCTGATAGATCACCAATGGTAAATAGTGAAGTACCTTATTCAAGATAACAAAGCAGGGCAGAAATAAGATAATTCAGTCTCATAGACACTAATACATACTACGTACTGGTAATTTTCTAATGAAGAGTTCTTATAGCATTTTCAATAACAGAAATCAACTACATAAGATCAAAAGGTCAATTAGTATTCTAAACCAGACATGAGAAAACAAAGGGTCAGGGAAACTAGAGCATTGGAGAATGAACAACCAGAACACTTATGAGAGAGAACGATGACTCAACTGAGAGAAATGCAATGCCACAGAAGAATCTCTACATAAACTGCCAGATGAAAAGCGAGTTTCCTATGGTAACTTTCACTGCAAACGTAGTATTTTTTTTACAAAGTACTACTGATACAGATAATTCAAAAGATCGTGTTATTATTCTACTTTGAATCTATTTTTTCT